AATTCCAGGCCCTCAGTCCTGCTGGCCAGTTGGCATGGAGACCCTCAATCCGCGGATGCTGATCCCAAAGAGCCAACCAGAATGCCATAACCCTTAGTAAGTGGGCACCCAGACCGAGCAATCAATCAGAATCAAGATCCATCCGGGACCTCTCATCCAATTAGGACCCACAACCCTACCTCTCTGTCCCAGTCAGAGCAGCCAATCAGAATGGGATCCTTCCGTTTTCCTGCCAGTTTGTATCAGGCCTCCCCCCACCCCCATTTCCAACTATGCGATCTGTCCCAGCCCCACTCGAGTCAAGCAGGACCAGGACCCTGCCATCTTTGCGCTCATCATCCAATCATGAACAATCATAATTTAACATGAACCAATCACAATCTGCTCCCTCTTCATGGTTTCCAGCTTCCAAACCTTTATCCATGTTGTACCCCCTTCCTCACTCACTCCTATTCCCCTATGAGCAGTGAAGAAAGAGCCTATTATATATTTCCTACTTTTATTTGACAATAACAAACTGTATATAAAAAGGAAGAAGGAAGGTGGGGAGGCCCTGGCTCTCCCCCTCTCTGCTTCCCCAAGCATCCCCCACCAGGGACTACCCCTTCCCGCCTCATGGTGGGGTGGAGATTGACAGGCATGGAAATGGTGTGTGTGTGTGTGTGTGTGTGCATGTGTGTGTTGGAGTGTCAAGGATGGAGAAGGTTCAAGGAGTAGAGAGAGGGCCTTCCCTCATTCCCCCTCAGAGTTGGCACCCTGAGAGGGGTCTTGAGGGAGCTATGAGGGTCCACACATGTGCCTCACTCAGCCTATGAGACGGTAGAAGATCCAGCATCCAAACGTGACCCAGTGACTGGCCCAGCTGAGCTCTGACCACTTGTGGACAGTATATGCCATGCCGTAGCCCTGTGGGAGAGAAAGAGGTGATGGTCTTTCTCAGTAAGGAAAAAGAGGGTCTCAGGAAAACCCATCCTTTGCTCAAGGACATTTCTGTGACTGCATGGTAACCCTAGTGAGGCCCTATAGAAAGGCCTGGGTACATATGAAAGGTGACCAGATATAGTTTTTGTTTTCTTCTTTAAAAATCATTTTAAAATCAGAACAAGACAGTCCTACTCTCTGACCTATAATCTCCCTTATATATAAAGAGTTCCTAGAAATCAATTTTTTTAAAGATAAAAATTGCCAAAGGAAGCGAGTAGGCCATTCCCAGTAAAGGAAAAACAAATAGCCCTTAAACATATGAAAATAGGCTCACTGGCAATCTTCTTCTTATCGAATTGGCAAGCGTATCCAGGAAGTTTGAGAGGCACTGTGTTGGTGGGGCCACAGGCAAGTTTGCACATTGCTGGTGGGAGGGGAAAAAGGTAACTACTCCATTGAGAATTGAGACTACCAGGAATAGATCCTACAAATCTGTCTGCACCTGTGTGGATCCACATGAGTATGAGAGTTCTTGCTACAGTATCATTTGCAATAGGAAAGGATTCCACCAATAAGGGACAAATTAAACTGTGTCAGATCCTCACAGTGGAAAAAATGAATGAGGACATTTTATATATTGATGTGGAAGATTTTCAAGAATTGTAGAACGATGTCATTTGTGTGTTATTTTTAGGGTAAAATCTAGGGAGACAGATTCAAAATACATTTTTATATTTGATATGATTAAATTTTGGAAGGATGTTTTCATAAAATGAATAAAAGTGATTACCTGTAAGAGGGAAGAGGGTAGAGCATGGGTGCTCTATCCTGAATATCTCGAATACTGTTTGGTTTTTGATCATGTGATATGCATTAACTATTTAAAACTATCTTAATAAAAATAAAACAAAAACTTTATTTAAAAAGAAGCAGCCAAGCATGGTGGCTCAGGCCTGTAATCCCAGCACTTTCGGAGGGAGGTTGGGGCGGGAGGATAGCTTGAGGCCAGGAGTTCAAGACCAGCCTGGGCAACATAGTGAGACCCTGCCCCTGTCTCCACAAAACATTAAGAAAATTAGCTGGGCATGGTGGTGCATGCCTACAATCCCAGCTACTTGGGAGGCTGAGCCAGAAGGATCTCTTTTTTTTTTTTTTTTGAGACAGAGTCTCGCTCCGTTTCCCTGGGCTAGAGTGCTGTGGCCTCAGCCTTGCTCACAGCAACCTCAAACTCCTGGGCTCAAGCAATCCTCCTGCCTTAGCCTCCTGAGTAGCTGGGACTACAGGTGTGCGCCACCACGCCCAGCTAATTTTTTCTATTCTTAGTTGTCCAGCTAATTTCTTTCTATTTTTAGCAGAGACGGGGTCTCACTCTTGCTGAGGCTGGTCTTGAACTCCTGAGGATCTCTTGAGCCCAAGAGTTTAAGGTTACAGTGAGCTATTACTACACCATTGCACTCCAGCCTGGGCCAGAGTGAGACTCTCTTTTTTTTTTTTTTTTAGACAGAGCCTCCCTTTCTTGCCTGGGGCGAGTGCCGTGGCATCAGCCTAGCTCACAGCAACCTCAAACTCCTGGGCTCAAGCGATCCTCCTGCCTCAGCCTCCCCGAGTAGCTGGGACTACAGGCGCTCGCCACAATGCCTCGCTAATTTTTTTTTGATTTTTAGTAGAGACAAGGGTCTCGCTCTTGCTCAGGCTGGTCTCGAACTCCTGAGCTCAAGTGATCCTCCCGCCTCGGCCTCCCAGAGGGCTAAGATTACAGGCGTGAGCCACCGCGCCCGGCTGAGACTCTCTCTCTAAAAACAACAACAACAACAAAACCAAGCAAAACCCTGAATTTTGCCCACTCAAACTGAATAAAAATTAAAAATTGCTTTTAATGTCAAAAACACAAAGTTTTGTTTTTAATTGAAAATGAAAAACCTAACTAAAAGAAGCAAAAACTTGGATTCTCAACCCCCCACTGCTAAATTTGGCTTAAAAAAAAAAAAAACCTTGGATTCTGCAAGAGCCATAGGAATAAACGTCATTTAAAAAATTGTTCTTAATTTAAGAAGGAGTAAAATCTGGAATCTGCATACTTAACATGAACGAAAATAGCATATAACATTTAAAATAAAATTTTAAAGTAGCAGGATCCAGAGTTTGCATACTTATCCTGAGCAAAATAAAATATGTTTAAAAAATTAAATGAGAAATCTTGCAAATTCTACCTAAACAAAAATGAAGTGAAATAATTAATTAACAAAAAGTAAAACCTGGATTTTGTACTCTATCTCTACAAAATGCATTTCATAAGTAAACTAAGTAAAGAGATTTTGCACACTTCACCCAAATAAAAAACCCACCGGTGTGACTCAACTAAAGGGACAATGGGAAAGGACCAAGGAGCACTGGCTGCACAAGCTAAGAAACACAATAGGAGGAGCTCATGCCTTGGCCTCCCTGCCTTTGTCCTCATGGTTCCTACAAGCAGGTAGCACCATACGTGCTTAAACCCCCAGCCCAGGGCCCCACCTCACCTGCTCCTCTGTGGTGTCGTCCACATCGACATCAAACAGGGAGCCCAGGTAGGCCAGGTGGAAGATGGCCAGGGCCCCAAAGAGCAAGT